CCGACTACGATGTCGGCGAAACGTCTGGGAATGTACCAGGTACACGTTCCGACTCTGGAAATAATCATAGATGCTATGATCCCCTTTGATAATACGGCCAAGTCGCGAAAACAAGGTAAACAATCCCTAAAATAAGTTAAAGCTAAAATATGCATTTCTTGAGAAGCACCAAATTATATTATATCATATTTATTCATAACATTAGATATCTCCTTTTTATTCACCTAGAAGAAAGAACGTTAACGTGTTAGCTCCCACAGAGTATTTCAACAAGATTCAAAATATCTAATATCTATAGCGATTTTAGATGCTTGTCCTTAATGGTATACGGTATCTATTTAGTGAAGATCAAAGTAGTTAAAAATATATAATTTTGGTGGCACTTTTTTAAGGGAAAGGAAAGATGCACATAAATATAATGGCTGGGTTATTACAGAGTTCAATCAATTTGTACAAGATGTAGAATACAATGGGACAGATTTATAAGGAGTGACTTACACTTGTTCATCTTGACTTGACAGTCTTATTCCTTTAATAGTACAATTACTTTTAGTTGGAGGAGGTGCAGGACCAGAGGATATTATCGAGGCACAACTTGCAAAATCGATTCCCTCATCATCAAGAAATTCTGGTGCATTGGACTGTCTTACTTCCACTTCAATCTTATCATTGCCTGGATGCTGTATAGGACGTCCGAGTTCCTCATATGTGGCCATGCTGGTGAGAGTAGAAGATAATGCCTTAAGTCTGCGGCCGATGTTATCATCAAGATGTACATCCAAACCGCACATTTGCCAGTGCACGGACAAAAACCAGCGAGCGCGCCCGGCTATATTCATAAATTTGTATTACCAAAAAGTGCAGTAGCCATGAAAACACATTAGTTTTAAATACAATAAGACATCAATAATCAAAATCAAAAGTCACATACTGAGCTTAGGAACTTCGGGCTGACGCCAACAAATACGAAAGAATCCATTTGGCACTAAACAAGCATTCATTATCACAGTATGCTCAACTCCGTTGGCTTCAATGCGAAAGCGTTTTTTGTCTGGTTGCCAATCGTCAGAACCAACGTTAAAATCATCATCAAAACGGAGGCAAAACTCTAACAAAAGATAAAATTGAAACAAACATTTTTCAAAAATTATGAAATTAAAAAGCACGATTGTATAAAAACTTGAAATCTAGAGTAATATCAAATTATAACTCTAATAAGTCCTACATTAAAATAAGAGTATCATGATACATGTAAAGGATATCAATATTTAAACAGGAGCAGGAGGCCACTGAATAGGCATAAGGTTGGCAAACATTTTATAATAGGCCTCCCTAAGATTGAAAAATTGGATTCGGATATTTAAGAAGAATTGTTGCCGGTTACAAGTCTTGTTATAATATTTGTTGGATATTGACTAAGGAATAATTTTAAGCAATAAACGTGACTCTTTGCTTAGCCACGATATATAATATATAAATAAAGTAATATTATTTTAAAGAAACTATTTAAGGTAAGCATATCAAGGCTAAATTTGTTTGTCAAAGAAAAAAAGTACATAAAACTACCTGTAAATTCACCCTCGCTGACGAGCGAATCTCTATAGCAAGCAGAAATACGACTTTTGTTTAGAGTGAGAACAAGGGCAGTACGAGAAGCAGTTTCGACTGACTGAGATGTTAGCTGAAAGAAAAGTGACTTCGAAAATAAGAAATAAAGAATAGAAATGTAGAAAAAAAAATCCTCAATTCCATGTACGTTTATTCAAAATATTTAATGGATTCCAAGGCTATAAATCAATTTCCGAGGGTTACATTATCGCAATCAGGCAATGTAAAGAAAGCGATTTCATAAAGAATGAAAATTAATTTGTCCAGTTGAACTACGAAAATCAATTTAGTAAAAACGTTCTGGCATGGAACTTATCTCAAAATAAAGTAGTAATCAAAAGAGCAAATGTATGCCAGTCCATTTTTTCCTATGTCTGAAAAAGACGGTGCATTCTCCCAGACGCAAGACTGCTTCACTCCACTAGAAAGCTTGTGCGAATCAGTCCAAGTCACAATTTTTTTATTGAAATGAAAATATTTGGAGCACTAAACTGCCGTAAGATAGACACTGTTGAATTACTAACAATTTCAAGAAACAATAACGAAAACTAACTAGCTTATCATTAGCTGCTGTATATATAAGTCTTAGTCAATTTACTGATTCATATATACCACAGCTAATGATAACCTGGTTAATTTTCATTATTGCTTCTTAAACTCATTAGTAATTCGACAGTGTCTATCCTATGACAGTCGAACTCTCCAAATATTCATCATATTTCGTTATTGTTGATAAGGAGACTGGTAGTTGAATATTCCCAAACCGGATGAGTAGACGTTACGTTTCTATTGAATTTCACATAGCCTTACTTTCCCGTAAGCTAGACTCATCCAGAATGAACTGCGGTTTCGACTTTGCCTAGGTCTAATCAGCACCCCCAGGGAGACTCAAAAACTACTGATAACTTCGAAAATCTACTCAATAAGAATACATAACAAAATAAGGACTATATAAACATATATGAGTTTAAATGACCTGGAAAACGTTGGTTGGAAGGCAAAGCCCCAGATCTTCGACAGTGAGTTGAAGAAAAAGAGCTTGCTGAGGGGGATTTGCTAAAGGACAAGGATTCTCTCGAGGAATCTTGATGAAGGAATGGAGGCAAGACTCTTCAGTCTCATCATTGAGAATCTGCGAGGGAACACCAAGTATTGGATTCTTAGAAGGCTGAGAAAAATAAGGGAAAATGTGAGTTAAAGTGTAAAAGTAAATCCAATTTTGAGAAATAGTATCGATTAATTAGAATCATAATAGTTGATTAAAACTGACTTTAAAATATCCCAAAAATAAGCAAAATTTAATGAATAAGCGCCTATATATATATATATAGCAATCTTACTGTTATTTACAGATTTTTTTATTAATTTTTTTTTTAAAGTGCCA